CATCATCATCATCATCATCATCATCATCATCATCATCATCATCATCATCATCATCATCATCATCGTCATCAGCAGCAGCAGCATCAATATCATCAGCATCATCAGCATCATCAGCATCATCAGCATCGGGTGTGCCGAAATGGGTGTGGGGGAGTGGCACTCGGGCCTTCGGTGGAGCTCCCATGGGACCACGAAACGTGTGAGGGCTGTGCCGAATTGGGTTTTGGGGACGCATGTGGACGGTGGCACTGGGGCCTTCGGTGGAGCTCCATATGGGGCCACGAAACGTGTGGGGAGTGTGCTGAAATGGGTGTGGGGGACGCATGTGGACGGTGGCACTGGGGCCTTCGGTGGAGCTTCCTATGGAGCCACGAAGCGTGTGAAGGGTATGCCGAAATGCGTGCGGGGGACGCATGTGGACGGTGGCACTGGGGCCTTCGGTGGAGCTCCCCATATGGCCAAGAAACGTGTGAGGGGTGTGACGAAATGGGTATGGGGGACGCATGTGGAGGGTGGCACTGAAGCATTCGGTGGAGCTGGTGTGGGGGGCGCATGTGGACGGTGGCACTGCGGCCTCCATTGAAGCTCCCCATGGGGCCACGAAACGTGTGAGGGCTGTGCTGAAATGGGTGCGGGGGACGCATGTGGGCGGCGGCGCGGGGGCCTTCGGTGGAGCTCCCTATGGGGCCACGAAGCGTGTGAGGGGTGTGCCGACATGGGCGTGGGGACGCATGTGGGCGGTGGCGCGGGGGCCTTCGGTGGAGCTCCCTACAGGGCCACGAAGCGTGTGAGGGGTGTGCCGACATGGGTGCGGGGGACGCATGAGGACGGTGGCACTGGGGCCTTCGGTGGAGCTCCCGATGGGACCACGAAACGCTGTACTGGGTGGGAGAAACGCGATGAAGAGGGAGGAGGGGGATCGGCGCCTGTGAGAAAATCTCGGTGGTGGCAGTGGGCAGTGGTGCTGCTCAGCGGGATGTTCAATTCGGATGTCGGGTCCAGCGTCACCAGCTACACTGTTAGAGTCGGATGTGGGGCCCAATGTCACCAGCTACAGTGTTGGAGTGTGCGCGTGCGAGGGGGAGGGCGTACAGTTGCAGCAGGATTCGGCGTCACTCAGTGGGGTGTAGGGGGCCACATGGGGGCCCGGCGTGACCAGCTACAGGGTTGCAATCGGCGCCTGTGTGACATCTGGGCGGTGGCAGTGGGCAGTGGCGCTGCTCAGCGGGAGGTGGAATTCGGAGGTGGGGCTCAACGTTACCAGCTACAGCGTTGGGATCGGCGCCTGCGAGAATTCTGGGCAATGGCAGGGCAGGGCGGGCAGTGGCAGCATGGGCCGTGACCCGGAGCCTCTAGGGCGTGAGCGCCGCTGGCATCCGGGTGCGGCTCGCGCGCATGGGAGCGCGCGGGGGCATGTCCCCTTCAGGAGCAGCAAGAGCAAGAGCAAGAGGGGAGGGAGGAGGGAGGAAGAAGGAAGAGAACGCGGGGACCGTCTCTTCAAAACGAGGACCCAACACTACAGGATGGTTGGGAAAAAATCTCTATCCTCTTCCTCCTGCACCTCCTCACCCCCCTCGTCCTCTTCATCCTCCTCCTCTTCGTCCTCCTCGTCCTCCTCTTCCTCCTCTCCTCCTCTTCCTCCTCCTTCTCCTCCTCTCCCCATCCCGACATTGTACGCTTTTGCCCGAACCATTGCCTTGTGGCACGATGAGAAGGTTAGTTCCCGACCGCTTGACACCTGGTCTCTCCTGCTTCTCTCGCTCGACTGCAGCGCTGATATTTCTGTCACTGCATCCTCGCCCCCTCCTGCGCGATGCGATTTGTCCGAGCCCCCTCTGGTCTGGTGCAGTCCCTGCGCCTCGCCCCACCAGGCCCGATCCGGTCGCCTCGCACAGCTCGCTCAGCGTGTCCATCCGCTGCCGCACGATGCGGAGCTGGCAGTCCGTCTCAGACAGGATGTCCTCCCGCTGCTGCAGCGAGACCTGGCAGGCTCCGCGGCACCTTCCTCAGCCTCCTGCATCCTCCGATGTCCTCCTTCCGGGCCTTTCCTCGGCATCATCCTCCAACTCCATACTTATCCTCTGTTCTGCCTCATCCTCCTCCACCACCTCCTCATCATCGTCGTTGCCATCCCAGTCATCAGCGTAACCACCACCATCTGAATGATCGTGTTTATCGCCATCATCGCCTTCGTTGTCACCTTTGGCCTCCTGCTCCTGCTCCTGCTCCTGCCCCTCCTCCTCTTCCTCCTCCTCCTGCTCTTCACCAACACCACCACCAACACCATCATGACCATCATCATCACCACTGCCATCATCCCCATCATCAACATCATCATTATCAGGTTCATCATCCTCGTCGCCGCATTCGCCATCATCAATACCATCAGTATCACCACTATCAGTATCAGCATTACCATCATCATCATCAACATCAGCATCGTAATCATCCTCATCAGCAGCATCATCTTCACCACCATAACGATACTAATAGCAATATCAATCATAATCAGAATCATGATGATGATCATCATCACCTTCAGCATTACCATCATCGTCGTCGTCGCACCACCACCATCACCATCATTATCGCCAGCGGCCTCAAGTTCATAACCAGACGCCTCATCATTATCATCATCATCCTCATCATCAGCAGCAACAGCATCATCACCATCACTTCTTATCAGCATCATCATCGGCAGCATCATCATTATCATCAGCATCATCATCATCATCAGCATCAGCATCAGCATCAACATCGTCGTCATCATCAGTACAGTTACCAACATCGCCATCAACATCACCATCCGCGACTACATCGCAATCATCATCAGCATATTATTCATCATCATCACCACCATCACCATCACCATCACCATTAACATCACCATCATCAGCATCATCAGCATCATCATCAACAACAGCATCAGCATGAGCATCCGCATGGGAATCATCACCATCATCATCACCACCACCATAATCATCATCAACAGCAACATCATCATCAGCACCATCAGCGTCCTCGACATCGACACCGACATCGACATCATCATAAGCAGCATGATAATCGCCCTCGTAATCGGCATCGTGCCCTCCTTCTCCTCCGCGACCTCGTCCTCCTCCTCCTCCTCCTGCTCCTCCTGCTCCTCCTCCTTCTCCACCTCCTCCCCCTCCTTCCATCCCTCCCCCTCCTCATCATCATCCGTGCCACAGAATGGGCAACCCATCCAGCTTCCAATACTGGGGCGCGTTCAAACACAGGACGCGCTTTCATGGGCCCCTAGCCTAGAACGGCCAGTGGAGGAGCTGGAAGGGGAGGAAGATGAGGGGGAGAGGGGGAGGGGGAGAAGCGAAAGGAGGGAAAGTGAACGTGGAGAAGGAGGAGGATCAAGGGGAGGAGGAGATGGACCAGAAGGAGGACCAGAAGGAAGACCAGGAGGATTAGGAGAAAGAGGTCACAATTGGGCAGCGGGGCCACACCCCGCCGAAGGGAAGGCTTCGTTATCCCGCTTCCCCCCTCGTTCATTCCTCGAACCTTCAGGACACCGGCGCGGAATTCTTGGATCAGCGCTGGACATCCCTCCCTGGCGCGCGGAGCGCGCCAGGGACGGCGCCTGAGGCGCCGCCAGGGTGGCCCAGCGCCGATCCACGAGGTCCGCGCGGAACTCCTAAAGCTTATGTCTTCGACCTTTTTGTTCTTCTTCGATCCCCTGGGCATGCCGCCGCCGCCGTCGCCGCCGACACCGGCGCGGCCGCCCGCGCGATGAGGATCATCGTCGTCGTCGTCGTCGTCGTCGTCGCCGCCGCCGCGGCCGCCGCCGCCGCCGCGGCCGCCCGCGCGCCGCCTGCCGCGCCACGTCCTGGGCCTGCTGGCCCGCCGCCTCCGCACGCTCGCCGAGGCCGGCGAGGCGCCCGTCCTCGGCGGGGGCCGCCGCGGGCCGCCGCCAGCACGCAGGGCGGCCGGCCGAGGCCCGCGGCCGCTGCCGCGGCAGTCGGGGATCGAGGCAGCCGCCGCCGCCGCCGCCGTCGCCCCCGCCGTCGCCGCAGTCGCCCTTCGAGGCTCCTCGTCGCCGCGGCCGCCGCTGCAGCAGCCGCCGCCGCCGTCGCCGGCGTCGTCGCACCAGTCATCAACACCACAGCCCCCCATCACCATCATAACCACAATTATCGTCATCAGCAGCAGCAGCATCGTCATCATCATCAGCAGCAGAAGCAGCATCGTCATCATCATCACCACCACAACCACCGCCACCACCACCACCACCACCACCACCACCATCATCATCATCATCATCATCATCATCATCATCATCATCATCATCATCATCATCATCATCATCATCATCATCATCATCATCATCAGTATCATCATCAGCATCATCATCAACATCATCAGCATCATAATCATCATAATCAGCAGAACCATCATCAATCAAAAAGCATCATTATCGTTATCATCACCACCATCCTGATCATCGTCGTCATCATGTCCATGGTAAGATACATCATCATCAACATCATCATCTCTATCATCATCATCGTCATCATCATCATCATCATCATCATCATCATCATCATCATCTTCATCTTCAGCATCATCATCATCATCATCATCATCATCATCATCATCATCATCATCATCATCATCATCATCATCATCATCATCTGCATCATCGCCGTCATCACCATCAGCATCATCATCAGCATCACCATCACAATCACAATCATAATCAGAATCGCAATCATCATCAGAAGACTCGTCATCCTCGTTGTCGCCGTCATCATCGTCATCATCATCATCATCATCATCATCAGCATCATCGTCGTCGTCGTCATCGTCATCATACTCGTTATCAGCATCATCATCAACAGCATCATCATCTTTATCATAAGCCCCGCCACCACCCTGATCATCATCATCACCATCATCATCATTATCATCAGCAGCGGCAGCAATGGCATCATCAGCATCATCATCAGCATCATCATGGTCAGCATCATCATGATCAACACAATCTTGATTGTCATCGCCCTCGGTCTCGTATCCTCCCTCTCCTCCACGACCTCCTCCTCCTTCCTCATTCCATCACACCCCCCCCCCATCATCATCATCATCATCATCATCATCAGCATCATCATCATCATCATCATCATCATCATCATCCGTGCCACAGGATGGGCAACCGATCCTGGTTCCAACACTGGGGCGCGTTCAAAAAAAAGCCGCGCCTCACTCATCGAAATCATTTTCAGCAAAATCAACCCCGCCTTCACCATTACCATCATCATCATCATCAGCATCATCACCACCGTCATCCTAATCCGCATCACCATCATCAGCATCATCACCATAAGCAGCATCATCATCGTCATCCTCATCATCCGAATCATCTTCACCATCATCAGTAGCAACATCATCATGATCGTCATCATCATCATCATCAGCAGCAGCATCGTCATCACCACCATCATCATCATCATCATCATCATCATCATCATCATCATCATCATCATCGCATCATCCTCATCGCCATCGTCATCAGCATCTTCATCATCAGCATCATCATCACCATAATCGTAATCGTAACATACAGACTTGTAATACTCAGAATCATCACCATCATCCTCATCATCACCAGCATCATCACCACCATCATCATCACCATCATAATCGCCTTCATCATCGTCATCATCATCATCATCATCATCATCATCACCATCATCATCATCATCATCATCATCAACATCATCATCATCATCATCGCCATCATCACCATCACCACCATCATCAATCACCATCATAATCGCCTTCATCATCGTCATCATCATCATCATCATCATCAACATCATCATCATCCGCATCATCGCCATCATCACCATCAGCATCATCAGAATCGTCATCACCATCATCAGCATCAGCATCAGCATCAGCATCATCATCAGCATCAGCATCAGCATCAGCATCAACATCATCATCAGCATCATCATCATCATCATCATCATCATCATCATCATCATCATCATCATCATCATCATTGCGGGAGGGACCACACACCCACACCTTCGGCCTCCCTGTCTGGCCTCCTGGCCGCGTTCCCACGGACGTCAGTGCGGCGCTGCGCAAGTGCCCCCCCCCCCAGCGCCCAGAATCGCGCATCCGTGCGACAGCGCCTCGGTGCCCAGACATCCGACGATGTGTGAAGGGGCCCTGGGACACACAAATGAATACACACAAATAAAACCATTCCCCATATTTTCCCATATTTTCTGGGTTTTTGTCTTCCCCCCCACTTCCCATATTTTCCCATATTTTCTGGGGAATCGAGGATTAATTGTGTCTGTGTGTTTTTTTCCCTCCTGAATGTGGTTCGTCCGGTGCGCGGACTGGAGGCACCCTCCCCCTGCCCCGGGGGCAGCTTTCCCTCCCGGATCCGTGCGCGATGGCCCCGGAGCCCAGACGGCTGGCCCCGGAGGCCGACACGGAGGAAACCCGCCCAGGCGGACAAAGAAACACTAGGGGGCCACATGCGAACCCTGCCCCTGCCCCCCACGATCTGTGAGGGGGAGGGCGGGGTTCCCTTCGCTCGGGAGCTCCCGCACGAGGCGAACCCCACCCTCCCCCTCATCTGGCCCCCTAAGGGTTCGCATCTGGCCCCCTAAGGGTTGAACAGGGCTGGACCTAAGCGGTGTTTTTGGCGATGTCGTGGGCCGTTTTCGTTTCGACTTCGTTCTGCGGTGAAGGCGGGTTCGAGTCAAAAGCGAGTGAAAACGAAAACAAAACGAAAAAGATAAACACCGTTTAGGTTCAGCCCCGGGGTTAGGGTTCGCACGTGGCCCCCTAAAAACGGGCCCCGGAGGCCGCAACGGCCGGAAGCCCGCCAGGACACACCAAAAAAAGGCTCGTCGGCAAGCCGGGTCCCCGAGGGCTTTCTCTGGCCACAGCTCGGGCCTCCCGCGGCCGCGTGGGACGATCCATACGCAGCCCCGGGGGCTGCTCTCTCCCGGGGGATGCTCTCTCGGCGAGGCGCGGCCGCCGAGAGGCCCCCCCCCCCCGAGGCTGCAGGGGCCGCCGAGGACACCGACGAGGGAACGTCCCGAGGACTGCCGAGGGCGTCGGAGGCTCCCGGACGGCGGCGTCGGCGGCGCAGCGGCGCCGTCGGCGTGGAGAAGATACGGCTCCACACCGAGCCGCATCCGCGATGCGACGCGACCCGCCGACCCCATCTGCTCGGACCCCCTCTGGGAGGCCTACGCTCCCGTCGGGGGACGTCCGAGAGGGGAGCTCGCAGACCGTGGCCCGAGGCGCGTGCGCGGGCGCGGAGGGGACCCGGGGACGTCTTGACATGAGCAGAGGGAGCCACGAAGTCTGGGAGACATCATGGCCCCAGCCTTGATGCGGGCGGGTGGCAATGCTGGCTGACCTGCCTGGGTGGCGCAGAGGCGGGCCCCAAAAAGGCCCCCTGGGGCCCCTCCTGGAGCCAGCAGGGGCCCCAGAGGGGGCCCCTCGGCGCGGACGCGTGCGGCCGCGGAACCCAAACCCCGGCCCCGCCAGCCATCGTTTCTCCTGGAAGGAGTGGGAGGCGCGCAGACAGGGGCAGCAGGAGGGGGAAAGGCTCCTTAGAGGGCGGCTGCTTCTGAGAGGACGCCGGCCCTACATCCATAGACAAGGCCCGCGCCTTCTGAGAAACGGCCTCCTTCTATGGAGCCTTCCCCCTCCTCCGACCCCTTTTTCTGCGAGTGGCCGAGGTTCACCTGAAGCAATGGGAGGCGGGGGTAGGGTTCAGATTTCGCCGCGTGCTCGGCGACTTCCAAACCCAACCCCCGCCGCCCATCGAGTTGCCTGGATCGTTGTTCGGCGAGCTAGCCATCGCTCCGACGTCCATTCCCTGTGCATTTTGCGGTGTTGTGTGTGTGCGTGCGTGCGTGCGTGCGTGCGTGTGTGTGTGTGCGTGTGTTGTGTGTTGTGTGTTGTGTGTTGTGTGTTGTGTGTGTGTTGTGTATTGTGTGTGTTGTGTCTTGTGGGTTGTGAGTAGTGTGTGTTGTGTGTTGTGTGTGATGTGGGTTGTCTGTTGTGTGTGTGTGTTTGTGCTTGTGTTTGTTTGTGTGTGTGTGTGCGTGTGCGTGTGCGTGTGCGTGTGCGGGTGCGGGTGAAGGTGAAGGTGCGGATGCGTGTGAGGGTGCGTGTTCCTGTGCGAGTGCGTGTGCGAGTGCGTGTGCGTGTGCGTGTGCGTGTGCGTGTAGGTGTAGGTGTGGGCGTGGGTGTGGGTGTTGGTGTTGGTGTGGGTGTGGGTGTGGGTGCGGGTGTGGGTGTGGGTGTGGGTGCGTGTGTATGTGTGTGTGTGGGTGTGCGTGTGTGCGTGTTGTGTGTGCTGGTGTGCGTGTATGCGTTGGTGTGTTGTATGCGTGTTGTGTGTGCTGGTGTGCGTGTGTGCGTTGGTGTGTGTTGGTGTGTTGGTGTGTGTTTTGTGCGTGCGTGCGCGCGCGTGTGCGTGTGTGCATGTGTTTGTGTGTGCGCGTGTGCGTGTGTGCGTGTGTGCGCGTGTGCGTGTGTGCGTGCGTGTGTGCGTGTGTGCGTGTGTGCATGTGTGCGTGTGTGCATGTGTGCGTGTGTGCGTGTGCGTGTGCGTGTGCGCGTGTGTGCGTGTGTGCGTGTGTGCATGTGTGCGTGTGGTGCGTGCGTGTGTGGTGTGTGCGTGGGTGGTGTGTGGTGTGTGTGTGTGCGGACGTGTGGGCGTGCGTGCGTGCGCATGTGCGCGTGTATGGTGTGTGTGTGTGGAGTGTGTGTGTGTTGTGTGTTGTGTGTTGTGTAGTGTGTGTGTTGTGTGTGGTGCGGTGTGCGTTGTGTGTTGTGTGCTGTGTGGTTTGTGCTGTGTGTTGTGTGTCGTGTGTGGTGTGTGGTATGCGGTGTGTGGTGTGT